AAGTTGGCTGGGCTTAGCACTCAGGATGTTTAAACTCATGCTTTTTATTCTAGTGGCAGTGTGAGGGTTCCATATTTTGTCTGCTTTGAGTGAAATGAGTTCTGGTTGTAACTGAAAATAGCTGCTCTTTAAATAGCATCCTGATACAACTGTCTGAAGGTACCTGTAAAAATCTATGTCCTAGCAATTTTTTTAAAATTAATCTTTCATAAATAAAGCTACGATTTGCTTTTGAGGTTCTGGAATAAGGGAAAAAAGATTGGTCTGCAGTCAGCTTTGGAGTTGTCACCCAGCCTTACCGAAGTAAAGGAATTTCAGTAGTCACTATTTCTGTCAATACAGTGTCCAAATGCTAAAAGGAACTTGCCCACTAAATTCACATGCAAAAAGAGAGGAGAGGAGAGAGGAAAAAAAAATCCCAAACCAGAAAAACCCAACCAAACAAAAAAAACCCACAAAAACCCAACACCCCAACAAAATGAGGGAAGTGGGAGGGAAAGACCAAAACATAAATAGGACTTTGTTTTGTTTTGTTTCTCTAGCCTGGAAGTGAACAGAAGCTGTCAGTTGAAGCAAACAGCTGTCTGCCACACGGTCATATACACTTGCCTCAGATACACGAGACTGGTGATTTTGAAAACAATATGCTGATAATCTGTCCCTTACCAAAATATTTACATTTGGCACAGGCACAGCAGCATTATGTGCACTTCTTTGAAGGATCCTCCTACTGTAGTGTGATGTGCTGGTGAATCTTAGTTGTAGCTGTTCTTCTATTGATAGCAAACATTTCCATTAGGATAGAGGGAAATTTTATGTGTTAGTCCTTATATACAAAAAATAACAAAATCATAAACCAAAGGTGAGCTTACTCTACTCTTAAACTTCTCCGTCTTTGTTTCTGATGGGTGTAGTCCTTACTGTTTTACTGTGTGCCCAGTTGAAAGAGTTATTTCTGGAGTGAAAAGCTGACTTGGACTTTTTTTCTCAAGCTTACAGAAGTACTGTGTGAGGCAATATGAAACAAAAAAAAAATATTTTGTACTGAATTCTGAGAGAAGAGAAATAGAATAAGATGGAAGTGAAATGCTTTGAGAAGCAGACCATGCGACTGTTTAGGCAAGTGATTTGATTACTTGTGTGGTAATTTGTTTTCAAAGAGACATACTTGGTAGTAGATGCAGAGAAGAGACCTGGGCAATTCTAGCAGAGCATGTCTACTGTGTTATTTTCATGTTCCTTTCTTTGATCTTTGTAGGAGAGAAATTACGGAAAAACGAGACTTGTTTTTATTTAGCTATGTGATCTTGCTGTGACTTTCAAACTTGTAATTTATAGGCTTCTGGCAAGCTATGGATATGCTGCAATAATAGTAACTCTTCCCCCCCCCCCCCCCCCCCTCTCTATCAGCCTCCTGCTGCGGTTCACAGATGATACGTTTGACCCAGAACTTGCAGCAACAATTGGTAAGTATGTGCTGATGCTACCTTAGAAAAATTTATACCAACTTCAGTACAAAATTGTAGTTTGTTCAGACTTGCCTAACTGGTAGTGAAGTTCAGACATGTCTGCTACTCTGTGAGGGAAGAATGATGTGGACACAGTTTTAGCATGCGGTGCTTATTGGTATAGAGCATTGACTGCACTGGCCTTTAGTTGTCCCCTTTATGCAAAATTATCTCTTTGGCTAGGAAAACAGGTATAAATGTCACCCTTCACCACAAAGATGGAAGTCATAGGTATGGGCAGTGAAAAGCTCTAGTGGAACAACTTGCAGTTCACTGTTTACCAGCATTTCAGGCTGAAATGGAAGTGTAAGAGCTACTGTTATGTCTCCTACTGATTTACCTGTGCAAGATAGATACCAAGTTGTTTCAGTAGCAATATTGCTGCCCAGAACTTGTGTTCTGTGCAATATACTTGGTAGCTATCTTAAGAAAACCTAACACCCCTTTTAGTAGGGGACGTTAGCTCTTGCAACTCCTGACAATACTAGAATGTACTGGACTTCGTGTGTGTCGTAGTTTACGGCTGGGGTGGGCACTAAAACCTGG